AGTCCAGATCCAAATAAAAGATTTGGATTAGGAAACTCCTAAAGGTATTAGGAAGTTTTCTCTTTAAGGCTATAAATAAGAGAGCAGGGCGAACCTCCAAAGACACATTCGCTGAATACAGAGAGAAGACAACACACTTAGACTGCTCATGCCTTCTGCTCTTTTTCTTCTTGCTCTTGCCGCCCCACCCTGTTCGATCTCCAGGTCTTGGATTGGATCAAGATTTGATCTTGAAATTGTTTCTTGCCAGAAGAAACAACTTAGAAGATGTGCACACTGCCCCATTCGATTCTTGTTGAAGAATCACTAGTTCTTGGTGAAGAACTACCTGCTGATCCTGCCTCACCCTAAGTTGGGTCATCTTCAGTGGAGGGAGGATTTGGTACTCTCTTTGGGCGTGAACACCTATGTTGGAAGGAGCATTCTTGCGTAGATTCCGTATCAGGTATATCCCTCCCTTATTTTGGTTTCAGATTTGGTCCAGTTTGGTCACAAGAACGAATCTTGAAAATGCAATTTTCTAAATTGGGAATAGGATTCCCGGATGGGAGTAAAGAAATTTTTGAAATTTCACCCAACCTTCCTGCAGGGTTCGGCCATCCATATGATGGATCTCCCATCCCTTCACTAACTGAGGTCAGTACAGTACTCAGAGACTTGAAAACTAGGGTTTCATTGCATCTGGTTGTCGAGGAGGAAGAGAGAAGAGGTAGCCAGTCCTACCAGAGCTTCCCAACCTCCTTCAAATCTCAACCGCACACTTCTAAGGATCAAAATATACCTCCCAACCCCTGAGCACCACACCCAATCCTTCTCCTTGACCTGTAACTAGAAAACTCTCTAGTCAGCAAGGGTTTTGGGAAGAAAAATTACAGCTTCACTTCTTGGCAAATTTTGACCAGATTCTAACTCTCCAAACCCTCTACCAACTAGGCAAATGGTACTCTGATTTATCAAGAACTCATCTCTCCATACGCTCTTCTGGTCTTCTAATCGAAAGGCGTATGAGAAAAAAGAAAGGAAAAAAGAAAAGTGGAAAACCTTCTCTAATACCAAGATGCAAATCTGACCTTCAAATCTGATATAAAGAATTTGATTAAAACAGAAAAGAATGAGAGAGAAAAGAGGAATACAGCAAAACAAAAGAAGAAGATGGAGAAGAAGAAGAAGAGGAAGGAGAAGAGATTTTGACAACCTCCTCTCTCCCTTCACTAGTCTTTTATTAATCTTCATTAACTAGGCTAATTACAAGTCTACCCTTAAGTGGGAGACCAGCTAAGCAAGAACTTAAAAGAATTTAAAAAAGAGATTAACAGGCACATTAACATACAAAACAAATAGTAACTAGGCTTAAACATAAAACAGATACTAGGGCCCATTCGGCCCAATCTCTCTACAAAGGTATTGGACATGAAATTTACACTAAAGATTGAAGTATCCAACATAGTATGGCACCCTTCTACAGGTATCCGGGTATTATAGATATTAAAGCACCTTGAAGCACTTTTACTTCTATTACAACAATGATCTTAGAATTCATGCCTATGTTGCACTCTTTCATTGATTTTCCATATCATCATCAGAATAATTCCTCCACCTCTAAGGCCCCTCATTATTGGTAATGCACATAAAGAATTCTCCAATTAGGGCAGGATTTTGTGCCTAGGATCAATATGAGGTGTCAATGATGTAGGACTAGCTGGGAAATTTTATCAAACAGGTCATCTAATATTGAGACTCTGTAAAAATTAAGAACTTCAAAAACTCCATTTAGTCCAAAAGTAAGACAAAAGAATAATTTGTAAGTGAACAACTTTGGGATGGAAAACACCAAGAATTCCCTATCTATTGAACATATGAAAATGAAACTTGAGAGTTGACACTTAACTAAATTGATGAATGGTGTCCTGTAATAAAAGGACAGCGAAATAAGAAAATGAGGGGGAATTCTAAAAAAAATTTTGCACTGCACAAAATTAGAGATTCAGATGTAACACTAACCTGCTAAAACTAAAGAAAAATTAGGCATGGACAATATTTAGTTTTCTCATAGATTACTAGTTAGGCCATATACATCTAGGGCACATGCAAAGACCGGTACATAAACAGGAGGTGAAAAAAGAATATGTATATATACAAGTTTTATAAAAATTTAGAAAAAATAATTATTAATTTTAAAAAACTATACAAGGGATATTAATAGGTAAGTTGGAATAAAGGACAGCAATAATTGTGTTCTTACTACATGGATATCAGATGGATGATACCATTAAGATTAAGAAGACTAATGTTGATTTCTGGAACCACAGCAATGAAAGTGAAAGCAATTCATCCAATGAAAAAAGGAAAAGAAAAGAAAAACTGTAGAGAAGATATTGGAGAATATTCATAAATGAAGATGAATATTCAATCTTGTCTTCTAATACAAAGACATCATGAGTTATAGATAAATAGAAAGCCTTCAGCTTCTCACCCTTACTGAACTTATAAATGAAAGACTGGATAAAACCCTATTAATTAGAAAAGTAAAATATAGGAAAAAGATACATGAGAGTAGAATAAATTGGAAGCATTTTATATGATGCTAATGTTATAACTATACTCTAACACTCAAAGCTACAAATAAGATGGCTCATGGACACAATCAGATAATATTGTCTGATTGTGTCTTAAAAGAATTAAAGGATTCCAGTCAATGTATAAGGGGCCATTAGATAATAGCTGAAGTGGGTGAACTGAATGACTTAATGCATTGATTTTAGTGGACAAGCCATAAGTGGGTACTCAGCTCTGCAATGATTGAATGTAATGTTTATTTGAATACTATACCTATCATCATAATCATCATCATCTAAGCTGTATCCTAACCATAGTTGTCAAGGTGACATATTGCTTCTTTGTCTCTACACTTGTAACATATTGCTTCTTACGGGTGCTGTAGGTGCTCTCCCATGATAAAGCCATCTTAGTCTACTTTCTCTCATTATTGGAGCTACTTCCAGTTCCTTCAAATGACTTCTTCTGGTTCTATCCTTTCTAATCTTTCCACTCATCCATCTCAACATACGCATTTCTACCACACCCATTTTTTGGACATGTTGTATTTTGACTGCTCAACACTTTGCTCCATACAGCATAGCTGGTTTTACAATTGTTTTATTGAATTTTCCTTTCAATCTAAGTGGTATTCACCAATACATAAGACTCTAGATGCACCACTCCATTTTGCCCATCCTGCTCTAATTCTATGGAAGACATCCTCCTCAATCTCTCCCTTGTTATGAATTATCAAACCAAGGTAGGTCACATTGAGTTAGCTCTTGAACTTCAAACCCAAGTGTACCCTGATTTGCACTCCTATTATCATTAAACTTACATAGCATATATACTGTTTTAATCATACTTATTTTAAAACCTCTTGTTTCTAAGGTATTTGTCCATTAACTTAATTTCACATTTAAGCCTTCAATAGTTTTATCAATTAAAACAACTTCACATATATTTTATTATATAACTACTCTGTCCACCGAAAGACAAAGCAATAAGCCTTTTAGTTCAGACACTTCAATTGTTATAAAATGGCCCCTAAGTATTAAGGATAATGAGTTTGTTTTTTTCTCCATTAAATCTGACATCAGATTTTCTCTTCAAAATACATTGAGGAATGAGGCAAGGCACTAGGATCTTTCAGTGCACAAGGTCTAAGCCTTGAGGTATCAGGCTTAACCCAAATGAGATCTCATTCTTCCAAGAAAAAGCATGAACTAGGATGAGATAAAGTATAGAACTATGCACAAAAGAACTATAACTTTACATAAGTAGCATGCATCTATGAATTAATCATCATATAAACAAAGGCTACAAAGTTTTATTTTAATCAATTAATATCATTCTTTACTTCAATCAATAAAGTTTTCAGTTATTGATCATAGAAAACAAAGGTTACAAAGCATTAAGTGCTTTAGAAAAAAATAGTTAACCCTCATAAATCTTCTAAGAGAAGGTGGGCCTTGGCGCAAAGGTTGGGTTACTCCAATGTGACCAAGGCTCAAATCTTGGAAACAGCCTTTCAGTGTATCTACAGGGGTAAGGCTGTATCATCTGTCTCTCCCAAGGCCCTGCAATTGCAGGGGCCTTATGCACCAGGATACCCTCAATAAATTTTCTAACTGTTAGAAGCTTCTCAATGTAAATAAAACTTCAAATAGACGTTAAATTTGCTTTTTGACTCAGTCTTGTGATGAGATCCCTAATCCAGTTAATGCATGAAAACATGTTCTTGACATGAGGCATCTGAAGGTGTTGGTATGTTTCTTACATAAGTCTCAAGGTTCTCTTCTAGGTAGGGATCAGGAACAACCTGTGATTACACCCCCACACCCAAATCAAAAATGAAAAAAAAAAAAACAAAACAAAATAAGAAAAGGATCAAGTGGACAAAGATGGAGGAAAAAAAAGAACAGTGCATATATGGAACAAAAATGAAATTAACACATTAGGGAGTTAGATGAGTTTATTTCTTAGTAGCATTGGTATTTTCTGCAAAAACATTTTAATCATGGCACTTTTTTCTATTATGAGACTTTTGTTCAGTGTGAATATAAGAATACTCACCGCCCAAGAAATAAGATGCTTTCCCTATATTGAAGAAGATCGCGGACCATGTCGATATGACCACTAACTGCCCGTCCAACTCTGCATGTCAAACCTACAATCAACCCTTTCCGGCTTCTAATTGCAGAGATCCTGTGCAGGGTACCCTCAATGCCAGCTCTGTTGTCCCCTCCAAATTCTCCAACAGCATTTTGAGCTTCTTCTAATTCTTGCATTGATACCTAAGCTAAAAGATATTATGGTTAAGTAATAAGATCTGTGGAACGAAAATAATTCAGAAGTTGACATGAGGGTACATAAAAGGAAATAAAGAAAAAAATAAAAAACATAATGGTAGATTCAATTGAGGGAGAAATGAATGACTTAGAGTTCCTGACTTATTTATAAAGGTTTAACAATAGAAAGGAGAAACAAATAAATGTATTTGCCACGTGAGTTCAGACCTTTACCTCTGTACTCCTTAAATATTGCCCACCACATTCACCCAAGTAACGTGCTTCTGGCAAGCGACCCAAATCCAATATAACCTATTGATAAGCAGAAGGTTACTTATGTGTAGTAAACAACTCGTCATTTTTCTGAGTGGCATAGATGATGTTAGAGGACATTAAACTCTATAGTGATGCACCACTGCAGGAATTTTACAGAAAACTAAATGATGAGCATTTCCCTGTAGAATCACCTCTAAAAGTTGAGATCTTTTGGGTTCATTGCAAAGATTCTCATGCAAATCTTGTGGCAGAATCTGCAAAATGGACAAGATGGATGCCTTAGTTGATTTAGTATAATGTAAACATGAATTAGTGAAAACTGAAAAGGATATATAATCAATGCTACTTCTCAAGTGACAACCAGAAAAATAAAAACAAAAACCATGTTTCATGGCAAGATACTTGAAAATTAGGAACAAAAAACTGGAGTAAACAGTGGCATACTGCAAACCATGAATAGCATAGTTGTCAAGGTGTCACCTAAGCAACCAGGCGCCCTTGGCTGGGTGCCTTGTCCAAACCCCTTGACTTTTAGCAACTAGGCACCCTTCTAGATGACTGGGCACCCACCTAGGTGACTAAGTGCCTACCTAGGTGACAAAAATGACAAGGCGGACACCTTTTATAATATCATTTATATTGTTGTATCTTATTAATGTATGTGTTTATACATTTTAGGGAAAATTCCCAATTAGTACCCTGTATTTTGGGTCTAGTGTCACTTTGGTCTCCGAACTTTAAAATGTGACAATTCAATACCCGAACTTTCAAAATGTGATAATCCAGTACCTGCCGTTAACTAGCTGTTAATCAGCTGTTAATCAGCTGTTAAGTGACATTTTAAAAAGACACAAATGCCCTTCAAGTGTCATCTATTTTTCTTTATCAAAAAAATTAATAGTCCCAAATCCTTGCCTCTTCTATTCAAGAAAGTTGGGGTCACTAGAATGCCCACTCAAACGTAACCCCAACTTTCTTGAATGGAAGAAGCAAGGATTTGGGACTGTTAATTTTTTGTCAACGTTTAGATGGTTGATAAAGAAAATTAAATGACACTTGAAGGACGTTTGTGTCCTTTTCAAATGTCATTAACGGCAGGTTAACTGCTGATTAATGGCAGGTATTGGGTTGTCACATTTTAAAAGTTCGGGTACTGAATTGTCGCATTTTAAAGTTTGGGGACCAAAGTGGCACTATATATATGCTATAGTGCATATATATATGCTATATATATGCTATATATATCAATATAATATATGCTATATATATATGCTATATATATCGCATTTTTCCCTACATTTTATTATATGCTATATATATCAATATAATTAGTTTTAATGTTTTACTATTGAAATTTAAAAGATCAAAGGGTTTTGAGGAGAGAAAAAGAAAGAAAGAAAGAAAGAAAGAAAGAAAGAAAGAAAGAAAGAGTAGAATTATAAAGAGGTTCTGTTTTTCTCTATTCTCTCTTTCTAATTAAATAAAAAAAAAAAGAAACTCCATCCTTGTTTTTTCTATTTTATTTTCCATCTTGAATATTTATCATATAAAGTTAACCTTCTTTAGCTGCTAATTGATATGAAATTTCTCTATTAAATCCTTCTTATAGCAATATTATTTTTTAAAATAATGAAATTAATATATGTAAAAGATTTTTATCTTTTAGGTGTGATGATTTGCCACATTTTTAGAGGAAATTTAATGTTCTTAATAAAGAGAATTGCTGTTTTTTCAATTAATATGCATGCTGAATGGTATATAAAACTAGGGAACTAGCCAAAAGTTAGATTTTTATATTATAAAATTTTTATCACCTAGGCAACTAGGCGACTAGGCACCCCAGTGTCGCCCAGAATCGTCTAGATGCCTTGAAAACTATGACAAAGTAATAGTAACTAGGCCATGTTTAAATGCACCACTAACCACAGATTTTAAGAAGGTCAAGAACCATGAGTTGCTAAAGTAATCCCTCAGTTCTCTCCTGCATACTTAGAAGCATTCTTTAGTTATTAGTTAGATTATCCCAAAGGCCAATTAGCATCTGACAATGAGAATGTTCTGAAAGCAGCCATGTAGTTACGGATTCTGTACATACCAGCACACTCTTGATCTTATCATCCATATGTAACTGTAAAATGGTTTAAATGTTTAGTGAGATAAAACAATTTGTGGTAGAATGGTCAACCTATTATTCTGCAACTAGGGGCATGTTTAACTGGTAATAATTGAAGCAAGATTGGTTTGAGGCATAGTAGAGCACCAACATGTTTCACTACAATGTCTTTATGGCTAGTCGATACAGAAACATCAAACTGTGAAGAAAACATAAAGTAGTGCTATAGATACAGCAGGGGAACAGTTGAGCACCAATATATTTCACTGCAATGTTTGGATAATTTGCTCTGATCCATAAATATAAACTACTAAGAGAAATTCCCAGTAGTTCTATAAACAATAACATAAGATAGTTCACAGGGAAATTTTAACAAATGAATAAGAAATAAGGGATAACAATAATTAGAACAAAAATAAGACTAAGGTTATGTTTGTAAAATAATAATATGACATAGGCAATTTACTTTCATAATATTAACAGAATAGAGGAAATAATACAAGCTGCCACTGAATAGAGAGATGGCACCAAGACTAAATAAATTAATGATGAAATATTTAATCAAGGACTCAATAAAATTAAGAGACTGTGTTTCCAAAATCATTAACATAATAATCAAACAATAATATAAGAATTTTGCAGAAAATGATTAGACATAAATTTCTAATCAAAATCCTTGGGATTCATAATTCTTTCCTTTCTTAGCTTTTACTCAAGTATAGAAAAATAGAGATAATTCAAAAGGCTAAAGACCACACCCCACACCCATCTTGTTCTTCTTTCAATTGCTTATGGCCGTCAAATGCTTCATCATCCAGCACATAAAGAGATACTAGTTCATCAGGGTTGAGAAACAGTGAAAGATTTTATTTAATCTAAAATGCAAAATAACAACAATAAGAAGAACAACAACAACAATGAGCATACAGTAAAGCATTCACTTAAGACTTCAGATCATGAAATTACCTCCAACAAGGCATGCAGAATGACGAGTAAAAATGACAATATGAACAAACCCGTTACAGTAAAGCATTCAGAAGCTCAAAATATAGGACACGTGGTTGATAAGCAGAGAATTCTGTTGAGAACAAAACGAATCCATCATTTTAAAACATTCACTTAAGACTTCAGATCATGAAATTACCTCCAACAAGGCATGCAGATCGTCTTCCACAACTACAAATCCGTTATCTGATGCTTTTAAAGATGAGAAACTTGGATTTCGCCTAAAATGGAGAGCAGAATTGCTCTGCTGAAGGAATAAGCTCCATTTGAAAGGCTTGGAATGGAAGATAGAGGATGATTTGATAGACACTGCGTAAGATGATACTGCAATTACAGACATATCTTCCTCTCTTCCGTGAAGTCCCCCAAAAGAAGAACAACAACAAATAAGAAATTATTTCATAAAAGATTTCAATATTTTTTGTATTTACAACAGCAAAGAGAAACCCACATAATCGCAGTTGTATTTTCAAATTTAATTGAAAACAACGAAATATCCGTTGCTTAAAGCGTATCAATCGCTAGCACTATCACCAGACTGAAATATCCGAGCTCGGATCTCCTCCTAACAAATCGCGCCGCACACCGACCTCACAGAACGTTTCATCTGTGCATCTGAAACATCTTTCCATGTATTAGATATTTACAAGTCCGAGATGTTTCAGGTGCACGGCCGAAACGTGCCGTGAAGTCGATGTGAGGCGCGCTAGTGAGGAGCAGATCCGAACTCGAAATATCCTGTCTCGATTAGATATGCAACTTATGGGGTCCCAACGGGAGCTTGCCAAAAGGTTGGGCTTGGATTTAGATTGGCTTGGGCCTGGAAACTAGGCTAGGATTTATCAAAACTGGAGAAAGGGCTTTAAATTTATAATTTGCATGAAAATCAAGGCAAAGTACTCATCTTATAGTAAAGATAGATATTATGTATTTGCATTATTATATATATTTTGAGTAGGGGTGGAAACGAATGGAACTATTCAAGTTAATGAAAAGCTTGATTCAGCTAAGTCTAAATCGAGCTTTAAGTCGAGTATAAGCCTAATATATAAATATATATATATATATATATTAATAAATAATTTTTATTATATATATATGATAGTTTTTATAATTCTTAAATGTTTGTATATAAAATAAAAAATATATAATTTTATATATGTATAATTTTTACTTTTATGGGAAACTTGGCTCACGTTCAAGCTCAAGCCAACCAAATTTGAACATATGAGCTTTTGAGCCAAACCAAATTCGAACTCAAGTCTCTAGCTCAAATCGAGCTTGAGCCTCATAGATTTTTGGTGAGCCAAGCTCAAATAATCAAATATTTGGCTTGGCTCAACTCTAATCCACCCCTAATTTTGAATAGATTTACTATATGTACATTAACTAGCGGGGGGCATGCAATGTGTGGGATGGGGCACCCTCCTTGTCCCTCGCCCCCATAAGTCAAAGCACTCTACTCCATCCTCGCCCCAACCCTAGTGGTGGGGTGGGTATGGGGTAAAGCACACATTCCCCATTGAGGATGGGGAATCCCCAAATATTCCCAACCCTAAGGCAGCCACCTAAAAAAATCTAATTTATGGATATTTTACAAATAGGATTGTGGGAATTGGGGAGTATTTTAGGAATTGGATTATGACAATTTGGGGGTATTTTATAATTGAAATTATTGAATCCTAGGGTTATAAGAATATGAGGAAAACTTAGAGATATTTTAAAAATCAATATTAATTTACAAATATTTTACTAATTTACCATCGGGTTTGGGGAATTATATGTAAACCCCATCCCTAATTTGGTGCAAAATTATTTTTTGTGTCCCCATCCCGTCTTTTCCCTATTCGTTTAAGATTTGAGAAAATTTGCCTCGTTTGCGGTGGGGTAAGGTAGGGCCCCAGTTTTATAGGGAAAAATGCCATCCCTACAATTCTAATAATTTTCTATAACTAATTAACTAATAGTAAATTAAATAACAATAAATTAATGTAAATTATTTACTATTAATCAAAGTAAATGTAATTATAGTAAATTAATGTAATTATGATAAATTACATTATTTTTAATTAAAAGTAAACAATTTGTTGTTAATTAATGTAAAACCAGGTATGATCGAAGTTAACCAAGTGGTCTAGATCGGTGTGGATAGACTTAATAATTTCCTAAATTTCCTTATAAATTATTTATTGAAATAATAATAAGGAGTTGTTGTTTAAATAATTATGAAATAATTTTTTGATAGATTAATTTCCTAATTTAATTTTCCTAAACTTTTTAATAATTAATTTAGTTCAATAGTAATGTATTATTATTTAAATAGTTTTGGAGAATATTTTTTTCATAGATTAATTTCTTAGTTTTTTAATTACTTATTTAAAAAATAATTATGGATTATTAGTTAAAGAGTTTCCTTAAATTACTTGAAAATTGTTAACTATAATTATTGATTTTATAGACATTAGTAAATTACGCTAATTAGTAATATCTTTTATCAATAATTATTATTGTAAAAATTTAATGAGAATTTATTAAATTACAATGGTTAATGTAAATTACACTAAACATTGAAATTTTGAACATTTATTAATAACAAAAAAATATTAAATAATGGATTGTTTATTAATTTTTGTTAAATAATGAATTATTTCTAAAATAATTATTTCATAATTTTTGGTAGAATATTTTCCAGAAATTTTTAATAATTTTCATAACTATTGACTTATTTAACAATAAGTTATTATTTAAGAATAAATTATTTAATAATAATAGAAGATACCATGAATATATATAGGAAACATTGAATTCCCCTTATTCCCCTCTCTTTGCTTGAAATCCGTCTATATTGATTGATTTGAAAAACCAAATCTTAATAAATTATGGACCTATTTTTTTATGGGAAAGTGAAGAGAATAGAGGGTAATTAGAGATGGAAGTAAAGGAGGGGATAAAACATATATTGAGCTAATTAAGGAGAGAAGCTAAATTGTTATAAAAAGTGAGAAATGTGAGTTGGGGGAGTGAGAAAACCCAATGGGAAGGGAGAGGAATGAAGAAAGAGGGTGCTGAGATGGTAAATTGGGAGTGGTGGGAAGGGGGAGAGGAGAGAGAGTCAAGGAGAATGTAGAATTGGGGTAATAGAGCAAGAAAAAGCAAGATGACATGGAATTGTGAACCCTCTTGCTATAGATAGATAGATAGATAGATAGATAGATAGATAGATAGATAGATAGATAGATAGATAGATATTTACATTAATTCAGGTCCACACTCACAAACATGTAAGTACTACAAATATGTACATACTAGTAAGACCTGGGCTAGAAGGACAAGCGGAAAACAAAACCTTCTCCATCTAGATCTAGTACTAGCACTACATAAAAAAGTATATATATCGACGAATATTGACAATCAAAATCCAATAATCCAATATGCCTATACCAATGGATTTTTTATCTTTTACCAAGCAGTATGTGGAGAGAGAGAGAGTGATGATTTTTCAAACAGAATTGCGAGATTCTTCTCTTCAACATCCAAACCTTAGAAATCAGCATATTACTTTTTGCAAATGACCAGAAGCAAGGAAACTTAAGATGAATGTAGATGGGAGGTTTTGTGTCCTGGGAATTCAGGTTTTGGTGCAATACTAAGGAATGCTGATGGAATAGTGATAGCAGCAGTTTTTGGCAAATCAACAGCTTTATCTCCCATCAAAGCTGAAGCGATGGCGATTCTCAACAGTTTAGAAGTTTTGACTATGTACAAGGAAGAAGATATATCAATGGAATCTGATTGCCAAACTCTGGTGCAGGGCTTTGAAGACAGGAAACTTTGATATGGCTTTGGACACAAACTTTCTGTGGATGGATATCAAATTACTGACTGATGACTTAACTATCTTTTTTAATCATGTAAATAGATCTTGTAATAGTGTCGCACATATGCTAGCTAGAAAAGGTCTAAAAAAGTCTGAATTGTTTGTCCATATCCACCTAGGTGGGTCCAAGACTTAATTAGACCTTAATTTGTGATGTTTTGTTATACCACTACTTGTTTTCAGGGCATACAGCTTGAGTGACATTTATGTTTTCAGGGCATCTCCCTATCTTTCCTATCAATCCTCATTCAAGAATCATAAGGCTGTTTGGTTGCAGTGCAATTTAATTTGCTTTAATACAAATGCATGGGAGTGCAAATGAAAAAAATGTAAATTTTCATTTAATTTTGTTTTGGGTTTACTTTATTCTGTTTTATGTCTTAATTTACTACATTTGTACTGCAATCAAACAAAAAAAATAAAATTGAAATAAAAATAGATTAAAATTTACACTCAAATCATTTGCATTATCATAATTTTGCATCAGTACAAATTTATTTGCATTGCAACCAAACACAGCTTAATGAACAAAGCTAACTGTGGAGATTTTTGGGTTGATGTTAGACTTCTAATCTCCATGTGAATCACGAACTCAACTCAAGACCGAATCAGCCCCCCACAGCACATCCCCGTCGTGTATTGGGGAACATCTCCCGATGGATGTTCCCAATACATGGCGGGTATGGGCTGTGGGACGTTGTGGGGGGCAGTATCATCGGGAGATGTTCCCAATACATGGTGGGGATGTGCATTGTGGGGGCTGATTTGAACTCAACTCATAATGCATCTCAACTCATCACCTGGGTTCATCTATCACTTTTTCAGTTAAAGAAACATTCATCCTTGATGATGCTTGCTTAACCCATTTCATCACCTTCTCAGCCTCCATTTGAATCTCCTTCTCCTCCTTTTTGGCGTTCTTCTTGCACTGAAAAAGCTATCTGTATTTCTGTTTTCATAAAAAAACTCTGTCATGAGCATATGCTACCGATTCCAAGCATCAACTTCCATACATAGAAATCATAGCATTTGAAACTACAACGTCCAACGTGTACGGAGTTGACGGACCTCTCTAAAACCCTTCAACGACTGAGCTTGAAAGGTAAGTTCTTGGAGAACACTGAACTGAATCTGATTCTTCATTAAATTCAATAATTTCACATGTACCAGAAGATGCACCTAACATGTGGGGAGACCTATTCTCCATTGAAGTTAATTGGGTTTTATTTTAAAAATTTTAAGATAAATCGAGGGCAAATTCAACATTTGCTATTTTTCATTAATGTTTTCTGGCCATGCCAATTATCATAAAAATTAACGAGTATTTAAGTAATTCTTTAAATAGTCGAATAAGTTATTGTCTATTTACTAAACCATGAGAGTAGTAGAGGTTGTAATGAAGTTGTAACTGTAAATTCATTTCTTGTCAAAAAGGGATGATAAATGCAGTTTGGATGAATTGGAGACAAAATTATACACACTTGGCTTAACTACTTATCACGGTTGAACACACCAGTGCTCATTGTGGGCCCCATTTGGGATCCAGATGTACTGAACACTGGCGTGTTCAATCGTGATAAGTAATTCAGCCAGGTGTGTATGTTTTTGTCTCCAGCTAATCCGTCCCCCTGATAAATGATAGTTCTTGTCATGGTTTTCAAAACTGGACTGAACCGGATGGTCGGACTGGAAAAACTAGGAACCGGTTAGGTGACCAGTTTTGGTCTTTCCCAAAACCGAATTTTCTTCAAAAACTGTTGATTTTGGTCAACAAACCGCTGATCCGGGCGGTTAACTGTTCAAACGGTTTTGACCGTTTTTTATTTTTTAAAATTTTTTATTTTTTGTCAGAACAGGCCGATCGTTCGGTTCAAACAGTTGGACTGTTCGACCCAGTAATCGGACCCCTGACCGGTTTGGTCTCGGGGTTGGTTTTAAAAACCATGGTTCTTGTTAGCTTTGTCAGTGCAAGGAAGAGCCAATTGGTTATGCTATTGTGTTTTGTCATTTACCTCGGACTGTTAGATTTGCACTTTTGTGTTCTTAGGTAGTAAAACAGATGTTTCTAATTCTTTGGGTACATGGATCAGACCTCTCTTATTCTAGGTTTAAAACCAATGTGGATGGTGGTTTCAAAGATTCAAGCTTTAGCCTCTTTTGGTGTAGTAGCTTGTGACTGGAATGGGAATTTTATTGGTGCAAAATTAGGAAAATGTCAAGCTTTCTTCGCCCTTGCAAGCTAAAGTTTTTGCTGTCAAGGAAGGTGTATCTGCATCTAGGTTTGGGGTATTTTTTGAAATTGAATTGGTAGTAGTGGTTTTAAAAATCCTTGAACCGAAACAGAACTGAATTAATCAGTAAACTGGTTGATTGGTTTTGATTTTTGACCAGTTCAGTTCTTTGGCTCTTCGGTTTTTTTATACTTATAATATATATTATAAATAGATAATTATAAATATAGTATATATATATATATAGATATATATAGGTCTGTTCAATTAACTGTTGCTTTTTAGTTAATAAAAAATCGAATCAATCCTTCATTTTTTAAAATATCGAACCGAAACCAAATCAATCAGTTCAATTAACCAGCTTTTTTTGTTCGATTTAGTTCGATTTTCTTGGTTTTTCAGCTTTTATGAGCACCCATAGGTTTGGATTGTTAAAATGTTGACATAGAATGTGATAACCAGTCATCAGTTGTTGCTTTTCTGCTTAATCAAAATTCGGGGTGCCCTAATGATTTTTGGTTTGTCGTCCTAGATATTCCTTATTCTCTTTTTGCCATTCCTTTTTTGCTGTTAAACTGTTTTCCCATTTGATAGTGAGTTGGTGTTTCAATAGTCTAGGTCAAATGAGTTAATCAATTATACCATAATTAAACAATACAATTTAAAAAATAGATAAAAGACACAAAAATCTAGAAAAATTGGACACATTTTTAATATCATATATTCATTATTTTAAAATAATTATTGCTAAAATAGAACTATTTTTATTAATGATGAAATGAAATACAAAATTTAAAATTATTTGGAAACGAAATAGTTTTTTTCTTTGGGTGATGGAGGATTAATGGTTCAGTTGTCCGAGTCAAATGAGTGAAGCCATAATGTCATAATTAAATAATAAAAAAATTAAAAGTAGATAAAGATACAAAAAATACAGGAATTTTGTAAAAAAATAGGCCATCTATAATATTATATAGTTATCATATTACACGAAGTAAGTGTGATTAATAAGAATTATTTTTATTTTTTTTGATAAATAAAGAATTATTTTTATTAATGATCTAAATAGAATATAAAAGTTAAAATTAACTCAAAAAAGAATCTGACTTGGAATGAACTTGTCTCAACCATTGCATATAGAATTGAGTATTGACTGATTTAGAAGTTAGAATATATAGGATTAATTAAAATTTTAAATTAAAGTTATAGAGTTTTAGTAGCTTCACAATTTTGTCAGCATCAACTTAAAGTTTGCTTTCTTATTAGAAGTACAATCAAAATGTAATGGATCAAAAAGTTAATTTTTAGAAAATATATTTAGATTTGTCAAATTGTAAAGTGATTGGGAATCTTTAGATGAAGAAAACAAGTCTTTGGAAAATCCATGATGCTTACTCTTATAAAAGAGAATGACAAGATTATTTATAAATATGACATTTCATTATTTTGTGATGCTCAATACTTTCCTTTTTTAAGGGTCAGTTACTAGAACACTCCCTATAGTTTCACATATTTACTTAAACATACTCTATAGTTTGCATTTTACTAAAACACCCCTTATATCTTGCAACCTACTTACTTAATCGACCTTTCATTAAGAACTATTTGTTTTGCCATTTTAAAATAACATGATCACCTAAACTAAGTGGAAAATGTTCAAGGGCATGGACCCATGGTTATTTATTCCAAAAAGTACCCTAGCTGAGTGGAAAATGTTCAAGGATACGGTCCATGGTTTTTTTATTCCAAAAGTACCCCTAACATATTTTTGTATAGAAAATAAAATTGACTAAATAGAGAAAAATAGAATGTCTATGTTTTACTAAGGGCAAAAGTGGAATTTTTGTTTTTTGTTTCTTTCGAGTAAATTTATTTGAATAAATGTTAGGGTTAAAACTGTCATTTTCCACTTTCATCTAATAGAAGGTTGATAAAATAAATTAATTGCAAACTATAAGGGATGTTTTAGTAAAACAAAAATTATAGGGGGTGTTCTAGTAAATGACCCCTTTTTTTTTTAATTTAGTACGACCAATTGTCTCATGTTGAGTTTGGAATGCTATCACACTTAATTCTGGAAGAGAGATATGGCTTCTGGAATTCCATCATACTTTCTATCTCCCTGTCTTAATCAGTCCTAGTCCATCCTACATCAAGTTCTCTTGCCTAAAATCTTTGGGTGCATTCATGTTCTTTGCCAAGACAAGGCGGTTCCCAGATTCTAGGCCAACTTACAAATCTTCCACGGGGTATCCCATGTGCAGAATAAAGGAATATTGCTTCTTTCTCATGAATCACGAAGTCGAGTTTTAGCAACCCAAAGGCTCAGAACCAGGCTAAGTTGATGGAAAGAAACATAGTTCCTCCACAAGAGAAACTCAAGAATTCAAAACAAACTCAAAAACTCAAGTTGAATATCATATGCTAAATACCAAGGCATTTCTACAACACTGAAGTTTATCCTATGGTACTAAAAGCCCTTTGGTTGATCCAGAACTTGGCCAAACCAACTTCATTACAAGGATTTATAAGGCACGAACAGCAATATAGGAAAGAAATGTGTATCTTTAATCCTGAAAAAAGATTTACAGTTCACTCACTATCATGTGCACTGAGATATGGAAAGATCCTTTGCTAAGTCAAGAAATGTGAAAAAAAGACGGTGTCTACCATTGAAACTAAGAGCACCTCTCAAAATCAAGCCTTTCATAGCTTACAACATCTTTCTCATCAAAAGAAGCCTAGAACTCAGTGTCAAAGCAAGCCATCATGACTTTTGAAACCATGGATCTGGCAAAAGGAATGTAGCTCAAGCTATACCTGCAAAATAGAACAAATATAACAAATGAGATAGGAATAAAGATGAAAAGGTAAGGGAATTGCAGCTTGTTGCTTAGTTGATGGATATATTGCATTCCAAATTTGCAACTACTAGGTTGCTAGTCCTGTGTCGGCTTTCCCAACAAAAGAAAAGGACAAGAGAAATAATCACAAGAACAACCAGGGTACAGAGCGTAGACCCCAAATAAGGCTTAACACTCATATACTGAAGTCATGGTGAAAATGCAGCAAAAAGAACTACAGAGTAGTATACATTCAATATGATTACTATCATAATGATAACTTTTCTTGATCTATATAGTATATTATATGGTAACTTGGATACATACAAATTCTTAAATGGGACCTCCATGACTATTTAAGTCTCACCCCTCTGGAAGCACCAGATGTGCTGGTCACCAACTCCCATGAGTACCAACAATTATCACAACTTTAGAAAGGCAGCAACAGAATAACTGTAACAAACACTTTTATTGCATTATTCCCCACCTAAAAAAAACAGTCCCAACTTTTTTGGCAATTTGAACTTCTTTTTCAACCAACACTTATATCCATGCCAGACTTGTTTTTTATGATTGAACGCCATGGACCATACGCTTGGAAATTCATGCCCAAGAGGCCTTAACCATTTCTTATAATGCCACATTTCTCCCCTCTCTCCTTAAAACAAACCCATCCTCTTTTTTATATAAAGACATTATCCCAAGCAATCAAAAGGTCCTTTATTGAGTCTCCAGGTTTCTAGAAGAAGCCCCTCTGAATTTTCTCATGTTTGTTTTATTATTTTGACTTGAAATGTTAGCATGAAACACGGCAATATAGACTTTGACCATTCTACTTTAACCTTCCAAACAAACAGTTCCTCCGAGTAGCCAATTCTTTTATGAAGCTTCTTCATCATATGTCCCTGAAAATCATTCTAGTCTACTTTTTTTTGATAGATAACAAGAAATTTTATTAATTATAAACAGCAAAGATGTACAAGCCTTACATACACCATTTGAGAGCATACTCCCTGCCATCTCTTCCCATAAAGTTTATGTTGTTATTTTAATGTTAGTGCTGGTAGTGAACTGTTAGAGGGCTGTCCCATGTTAGTTTATGTTATTTTGTATTAGATTGTGCTGCTAGGGATACTGCTTTAATTTACCTCTTTTATTTTGTCACCCTGTTATAAATAAAGAAGAGGGCACCACCAGCCCAATTTTTTGTCTCTCTAATTTCTCTCTTCTCTTCTCTTCTCTTCTCTCTTCACCTTCTCTTCTCTATCTTCTTCTATTTTTCTAGTAGTCACATGACTTGTATGGAGAGGTATTCGATGGGCTCACGAAGGGGAAACTCCCCTTCTTCAACTCAAGGTAGGATCTATGGTGTGTCGGAATTAGCAGTTGCAGAAGCATCTCCACAAGGACCCAAGGACGACGATAAGATTGGTGATGCAAATCATCCTGCAGCTCTGGCAGACAAGAAATCTGGCCTGGAGTCTATATCTGGCACTCAAGATGCGGAGAAAGATATGCAAAATGGCAGGAAAGAAACTCAGTCCAGGAATAGAAAAGAACACAAGAGGAAGTTTTTAAGGCTCAAAAACTCAAACTTGAAAAGAAAGGGAGTGATAAGAAGGAATATCTTGGCTGAGATTAGAAAAAAGAGAGGAAGAGAAGTGGGTCTGGGTGATGGGCAGGTTCAACAAATACAGCAAGAAAAGGTTCCTTGAAGGTACAGAAGAGACTTTCATTGACTGTTCTCATTTGCCGATGTCTGGTGATACCGGAAGTTACCCTCAGGTCAGGAAGTGATTCGGCGAGAGTTATGTTCCCTTTGAGTCCGGGGCTATGAGTATGACAACTTCAGAGGATAGGTGTGATTTGGGATGTCTAGTTGTTCCAAGCTCGGAAGAGCTAGAGTTCGCTGAATTGGAGAAACTAAAAAGAGGGGAGACAACAATTTGGAAAAAGAATGTTAGTATCAGTGCCGAGCCAGAAAATGAAGGCAACAATGGAGGTAAGGTTGGAGGAGAAGAAGGCTTTAGTTGATGATGACTCTTCTGGTGGAAAGGCTGAAAGTCAGGATGAAGATGGCCTGCTTTATGAGGAGATGAGATTGGAAGGTTGGGTGTAGATCTGGGTCGAGGGAACAAAATGGAAGAGGAGGATCAGAATTGTGGGATAGCCAATGGGCACTAAACACGGGGATATCAGTGCAAGCTCAACCACAGACCCTCCTTTCATTGAAGGAACAACAGATAAATAAGGTGATTGATGCCGAATCTGAATCTGGTGTGACACGGCTAATACAGGAGAATGAAGTTATTGATGAAGATTCAGGCAAGGTGGCTATCCAAAAATTAGTTGATAGGGAGGTCATAATTGGGAAAAGCTTGGGTTTGTTCTTCTGGGGTGGGGAGGAATTTGCTAGGAGGGCTTTTGAAGAATTTGAAAGAAAAAAGGAAGAAGAGAAAATGAAGAAAAAAGCATAGTTGAAAGGGAGCAAGGACTGGGACGAGGAATTTTCAAATCAAGAGGATGAGCTTACAGATGAAGATTGATGAGGGCAGCTAGAAAGGTTTTTCTTTTGGTTAGAGTTGGGCGGTTGCTCTTGTTTTAATGGAGATTTGTATTGGGTGATCTTTATTCGAAGTTTGTTGGTTTTTTCTTTTGCTTGTAAGGTGAGGTTTTCTTAGGCCTGTTTGGGTTTCCTGTGGGTGGTTCTTGCTCTAGGTGATTTCTTATCACCTTCTGCTGTAGTTTTTCTTTTTCTTTAATAAATTTTCCTTTTATTCTTCAAAAAAAAAAAACAGCTTACATTACAACTGATCCCAACAAAGGAAAAAAATGATTTCTCGTTTTGGCTAGTATATAATCCAAACTGTATGCTGACCTTCATACCCCATTGAATTTTTACTTGTAAATCCCTAGTCATCCATATGAACTTTTGGGATCATTCTTATAGGACCAAAATGCTCTCACACAGTTCACCAGTTAGCCAATCTTCACCTTTGAGTCACCTTCAATGATTAGTTTACCAGAGTTCATTGCATTAGCTCTCTGTAGTCCCTGATTAACCACCATTAATTTCGGCTCATGTTGAATCTCCCACTCCAGGTGGGTCAAGAAAATTGAAACCACATGACCCTCTTCATTTCTAAATACTCCTCCTACCCCTGACAGCCCTAGATTCCCAAAGTTTCTGCCATCAAAGTTGAACTTTATAAGACCCTTTAGGGTGGTATTCTGCTCCAAATTGCTTTCACTGGAAAGGAATTCACCATAGTGTGGGGGCGTAGAAGCTCATTGATGGAGGCACAAGTGAAAAGACCTAAAGGAGATGCTGTCCAAATCTGACTATCCATGTAGGAAGGGTCTAGAAAAGTGCTATCAAGAAGCTTTAGGAAGTAGACTTCTTAGAGTCAGCAGGCAGGGGCATTCTAGTCCTTATACATTGTTTTATTAGATGTTTTGTCTATTTTGTTTCAGTTTAAGTAATGTGCCCCATACTTAATTAGGGACATAAGTGTCTTTGTACATGCTTCACAAACCTATAAATAAAGCTCTGGTAGACTGAGAGACAGATTGAATACTCTAGCCAAGACTATAATTTTCTCCATTCATTCCTCTTCTCCTTTTCTCTTTTAACCTAGAACTGCAACCAGTGTTAACTGAACTATTAACATGGTATCAGAGCCTTGGTAATCAGCCCAGAAATCTTTTTATTGCTTCCAGCATACCGTTTTTGAAGAGAACACATCAGTTACTTGGAGAATCAGGGAGAGGCTACAAAGGACCTATTGTTTTTCTGTGTAGGAGGTATTCATGCTTCCAGTGGTTGTTGGTGTTGTTGTTTCAGTGGGTTACTAGAAACCCTCTACTCGATGACTCAAAGAGGGACTTTTAGTGGACAGATTGGTTACATCTATTTTCTTGTGTGGTGATTTGTTGGTTTAATCAATTGATGCAGTGGAACCTAGACCTATTTAGATGGCCGACCAGCAGGTATGTGTAAGAGGTGAATACCTTTGTGTTTCTTGTTGTTGAAAGTTGGAGATAGTGGTGAATCTTGTTGCTGAAACCTGTGATAGTAGATGTTTCAGCAATAATTGAGTCCAATGGCTTCTCTAGTATATTATAATTCAGAAAACCAAAAGATTATTTAACTATCAAAGTCTCTAAAGTTTTTCCCAGGTTAAAAGGTCTTTTCAGGATTGGGCCTAGCAAGAAAGTAAAGAAGCCAAGAAGAGCTAGCACGAGGAGCAAAGAAGTTTTTCCCTGCACCATTCCCTTTTTCTGCTCAAAGTGAAGTCCTTCCCCCATCGTCTGTACACCCTTCTTTCGTGGAAGACTTTTTTTTTTTTTTTTTGCATCTTATTCTCCCATGGATAGACTTGAATCTCCTATCAGCACACTGGCTCCATTCCCACTCACCAAGAAAATCCAACATCCTAGATCAACTCCTACTCATGATACAATTGGAAGAAACAAGAAGAAGAAGATTTTGATGATTGGATTGAGGTATCTAATAACAACAAAGAGGGCCAGGAGAATCAGTCAAGCATTGGAAGGGTTGAGACTAAACAGGTTGGTGTAGGGAAGAGGACATGGGAACAAAGGTTCTATTCATCGAAGAATCAATAGATCAAGGTATCAAGATGATCTAGACAAAATATAGAAGGGATTCTGATCATTGACTTCCTTCGCTAGTGAAGAAGATGATATACCTTGGTTACTATCCACTATTGGCAAGGTTCATGGTCCCAATTTTTGTCTTGTTTACCTATGCCTAACTTCTTTTAAATCCTGGTTTAAACCATTTTTAAACTTCCAAGCAGCTTTGAACTCAAATCACCATGTGCCATTGATCCCAATTCACTTGCTGTTTTAAATCTGACCACCTTTGCATAAGATTTGAATTGAGCCATTTAGTCTACCTTAAATGGCTCTCATGAACCCTTACTTGGGCCTTCTTTTTTCTTCCTCTATTCA